TAGCAACCCCCTAATAACCCTCTAATAACCCCCCCCTAATATAAACTATTCTATAAATATCCTAATAACCCAATGACAGTCCTATCAACCTCCAATAATGCAATGGCAGTGCCATCAACCCCTAATAACCTCCTAATAACCGCATTAATAAGAACTATGCTATGAACCCCTTAATAACGCATTAATAAGAACTATGCTATGAACCCCCTAATAGCGCGATGACAATCCTATCAACCCCTTAATAGTGCAAAGGCAAACGTTACTCCTTTCGATCAAGCGGGATTTTCACAACAGGATAGTTATGAGTCCGGTTTCCATTGATCATATGCCCTTCTTTTCAACAGTCCTTTTCAGAATAGTTGAAAGGTTCGGCGTATTTTTTGCGATCGAGCGGCATTTTATTGACAGTTCTTTTCAGGATAGTTGAGAATTCTGCTTTGGCCCACCTTACGCGCATCTTTTCAACAGTCCTTTTCAGGATAGTTGAAAGATTCGGCGTACTTCTTGCGATCGAGCGGCATTTTCTCGACAGGCCCTTTCAGGATAGTTGAGAATCCTAGTTGAAGTTTCTAGTAATCTTCATCGTCCTCGTGCTCCTAAGATCTATTTATAATGTCTCCCCGGAGTTGCGTGAACGATCCTAACAAGTTCTGCAACGTATGTGGACTTTATGCTACTAAAAACCAAAGGAGATTACGCCTTCAATCGAAACTGCTTACAAAAACTATTTCGGCTATTTTATCGTGAATGTAGACAAATCTTGGGTGCCAAACACAATTTGTGTAAGTTGCCATACAATATTAAGTCGTTAGAATAAAGACGACTCTTCGCAAAAATTGCCTTTCAGTTCTCCGATGATCTGGCGTGAGCCACGTGATCATAATGACTGTTACTTTTGTTCTATTGACCTGAAAGGTTTCAACAGTAAGAATAAATCTGCAATTTTGTATCCTAATGTCTCATCTATTACTAAACCAGTTGTACGGGGGACTCTTGTCTGTGAGAAATCATCACCCCTAAAGAAAGCAGAATGTTTACCTACTACTTCCAGGAGCCCAGATAAAATTATTAGGGGGTTACTGGGGGGGGGGGGGGGGGGGTGATAGCACTGTTATTGCGTCATCAGGGGGTTATTAGCATAGTTCTTATTAGGGGGTTATTAGGGGGTCAGTTATTAAGGGATTGATAGGATTACTGTTGGGTTTTTAAAGGGTTTATAGCATAGTTCATATTAGGGGGTTATTAAAGGTTTATTAGGGGGTTGATAGCACTGTCATTACGTTATTGGGGGTTTATTGTATGCCAACTTACACAAATTGTGTTTGGCACCCACGATTTGTCTACATTCACGATAAAATAGCCGAAATAGTTTTTGTAAGCAGTTTCGATTGAAGGCGTAATCTCCTTTGGTTTTTAGTAGCATAAAGTCCACATACGTTGCAGAACTTGTTAGGATCGTTCACGCAACTCCGGGGAGACATTATAAATAGATCTCAGGAGCACGAGGACGATGAAGATTACTAGAAACTTCAACTAGGATTCTCAACTATCCTGAAAGGGCCTGTCGAGAAAATGTCGCTCGATCGCAAGAAGTACGCCGAATCTTTCAACTATCCTGAAAAGGACTGTTGAAAAGATGCGCGTAAGGTGGGCCAAAGCAGAATTCTCAACTATCCTGAAAAGAACTGTCAATAAAATGCCGCTCGATCGCAAAAAATACGCCGAACCTTTCAACTATTCTGAAAAGGACTGTTGAAAAGAAGGGCATATGATCAATGGAAACCGGACTCATAACTATCCTGTTGTGAAAATCCCGCTTGATCGAAAGGAGTAACGTTTGCCTTTGCACTATTAAGGGGTTGATAGGATTGTCATCGCGCTATTAGGGGGTTCATAGCATAGTTCTTATTAATGCGTTATTAAGGGGTTCATAGCATAGTTCTTATTAATGCGGTTATTAGGAGGTTATTAGGGGTTGATGGCACTGCCATTGCATTATTGGAGGTTGATAGGACTGTCATTGGGTTATTAGGATATTTATAGAATAGTTTATATTAGGGGGGGGTTATTAGAGGGTTATTAGGGGGTTGCTAACATTGCCATAGAAATATTAGGGGGTTATTGGTCAGATAAACCTTAAATTCGGGTTCATTGAATGCAATTTTTTGGATTTTACTTTGACCTAACCTTGACTCTGAGCCGACCAGGTCAAACGCACCCCAGATACGAATTCAGCGACCTCAAAAACCTATAGAAACAGTACCTGGACCAAGATTAATGGGATAATCTTGATTTGACCTTGATCTAACTTTGACCCCTGAGCTAATCGGGTCAAATGAATCGTGGATTCGAATTCAGCGACCCCAAAAACATATATGTAATGGTATTACCTTTTGCATTTTTGTTCACATATGACTTTTTCGTGGGGCTGTCATATTTGTATTGTTGGTACTGTTGTTATGGAATCGCTAAAGTGGTGAACTTCATTCGATGATATCTCCGCGAAAAAAAAGATTTGTTAAATTTGAAAAATGTGTTGGAAAGGGCAGAAGCAATACTTTCAAATGGTCACATTAGTTTTCAGTAAACAAAAATTTTTGCGGTGTAATATAGCTTCGAAAACAGCATAAATACGTGTTTTTCGCACTTTTAGGTTAGAATATTTCGAAAATGTGACGTGATAGAGCATTTTTGATGCCAGGTTTGTGTTCAGCGCATCAAAAACCTTCGGAATATGTTGCTCATGTTCGTGCGATATAAATCATGTTGACCTGTGTAATTTTTAAAGGTACAAACTCTCTTTACAGCTTGAAATACAGCTGACTGTGATACCTTTTGAATATGTAATATTTATTTTTTATTGTTGTTATCACGCTTTACATTCTATGTTTTTACTACTTTGTCTGGAAGCGCCAATGTATTAACGTGGGAAAATATACTTCGTCACTTTTCGTAGCTTGTATGAGCACGTGTCCAGTTATGGTTGTCTATGTACGTCGAAGACATTAAAATGAACTTCAAACTTACCTAATAGTCAAATCAACCCTAAATATGAAATCAGCTTTTCAAAAAACCTATAGACCCGTTATTTCAAGTTATATTTATGAATTCTGTGTATTTGATCATGAAATGACTTTAAATGCGTGTGACCTGAGCATGCACTTTGAACTTTAATATGATCTGATAAGGTTAAACTGACTTCAGATTTAAATTCAGTGCTCCGAAGATCCTATAAACCTAGTATTTCAAGTTAGTTTTGATTAATTCTGCGGATTTGATCTTAAAGTATCCTTGAACATGACCTTGAAGCTTATTTCATTAATAAAAAAGCTTATGGATCCGTTTTTTCAAGTTATATGTAATGAATTCTGTGTATTTGACCGTGAAATCATATTGAATATGATCTTCAAAAGTTAAACTAACCCCGGATACGAATTCAGCAACCCGACAAATCCATAGACCTACTATTTCAAGTTACTTTGAATGAATTCTGCGGATTTGACCTTGAAATGAGCTTGAACCTGACCTGATCAGGTTAAACCAACCTCGTATTTATAATCAGCGTTTTTAGTACTTGAACTTTTTTTTTATGGAGCTCCATTATTAATAACAATTCAATATAGTGCATCATGATCGGTGAACCCAACCCAATCCACAAGTATCACTGTTTGTTATGATAATGTATATTTATATCCCTAGTCAATGCCCATTTTACGATTCTATTAGTATCCTGGTTTACTTATACTTTGATTGATCTCGTTATGTTACGCGTTTCAATCAAACAAAGAACTCTTGCGTCACCAGGTAGTGATAGCTTAAACTCTGATGATGACGAAAATCTTAACAAGGAATTGGATGATGATATTTTTTTTTTTTTTTTATTTAACGTCGCTCTATTTATGCTCTATCAGTGCTAATAAGTGACGGAGGCTTGCAATGTGTTTGAGAACAAAGCACATGAAACTTTTTTCAGTGGTGCTAGTATCAATTAGCAGGAACTGGGAATCGAACCCGGGCCTACCGGGTGCGAGTCCGTTGCCCTACCGACTGAGCCATTGCAGGCTTCATGGATGATAACATCTTAAAGGTTATTGGCAAATGTATGGTAATTATAACCGAATGAGATGTATCCGCTAACATTACATCTCGACATTGAAGTTAGAAGAAAGGAAATCTATAGAAGTGACCTTCCAAAAAAGGAACGCATTAAATATTTTGATAAATAGGCTCATGTAAAGAACTGTAAATTTCTTTATTCTCGTATAAAAATAAACTCTTCAATAAAAGAAGCCTTCAAAGAAACTATTATGAATGAGTGGCTCTTTGGGGAAAATTTTAATGATAAATTGAAACCTGCAAAAATGCTTGAGAGATCTAAGAAAGATTTAACGATCTTCAACAAAACGTCCTGAATATCTCGTCCAAAAAACTCGAAAGGCCTGTCTCGATATTCGAACTAGAACAGGTCACGAGATCGCTACCAAACTAGGTCTAGGAGTGAGCAGTACAACAAAACAATCCAATCAACAGAACAGATGTTGCAGAGTTAGAGAGGGCGCAAAGCCTGCTCATACCAAGATACTTTTACCAAATATTTTTACCATGATTTCTTCTAAGATAGTAAAGAATCTTTTGGTCAGAAGAGTATCTTAACCATAACATGAGCATTGTTCAAATATATTACCTTGAATAACTTTCGCAAAATCAAGTAAAACAAAAATGAAAGTCTTCCACAGAAGCTGCAAGTTGTCATCTTATTATATATTTCAGTGGGCTTATTCGCATGTCATTTTATGACCTTGTTGTTTGATTAATTCATGGCCAAAAAATGTTTTTACAATTCTATCTGGTCTACTTTGTTACTATTTACAATTTAAAATATTCCTATAATTTGCAATTTAATATATTTCCATAATTCTATTTAACATATTTTATTATCATTTGCAATTTATTAATAAGTCAATTTTTACTAAAATATTTTTTTCTAATGATTTTGTTAGGTTCACATCGACATCGATTTACTCAGCGAAGATAGATGTGATGTAGGTGCATCCCAACGGTATTCACGTAAATTCGTAATACTTAGCTTTTGCATCATATTTGGAGGACTTTTTGGATCATGTTATCTCTCTAATTCAGTTCCAATTTTTCAACCTGTTGTAAGTTAATAAACTTAGTCTACTAAAGTAGTATTTTTAAATAAATATCTTATCATGATAATATTTATTTCAGATGGAAAAACAATATCCATGGAACGGAAAAAAGTATTACACTTTTATTAAGAATCAGTAACATTAACCTAACGTCTGTATTTCTACCAATCTTTGAGCAATAAAATTTATTAAACCATTCAAAGTTTAATATTTGATTCGTGTTAACGTGCGATATATGTTAATAAAAGGAAAATGAGAAGTTTTGATTTTGAATAAGTTATTATCTTTGGAATGCTGTACATTACAAGAATTAATCTGAAAGTGTTACAACTCTTGCAACACCTAGGAAAACCATCATCGTCCTTTTCCTCCTTGAAACCGACCAAATAATTATTTCCAGCCCGCGTCCTAATAGACTTTAAGGAAGTGTTAAAATTCCTTTATAGACCGAAGGGGGGAGGAGCTAAAAAGAAATAAATATTCCAAAATTAGGGGCGAATCTAACATCTAAATTATCGAATCCAACCAATGACAATATTTCTTCTAGATCAAGACGGGGACCAGAGAGATTTTCGGAAAAGACGAGTTACCAAACGAATAATGGTCAGACAATGCGAGGCGATACTTACGCGTCTAAATACTTATCTCTCTCTCTCTCTCTCTCTCTCTCTCTCTCTCTCTCTCTCTCTCTCTCTCTCTCTATTTAGTTAACCCTTAACTTGCACACCCCATTTTGGCCACGTAACTGCTCGGTGGGGTAAATCTACCCCAGCCCGAAAAACATCGAATAAATCAGAGAATTGTAGATATTTTGCTATGAAAATTTTTTCTAGTATATTTCAAACCTTTTACTACAAAAAAAATATTCAAGTTAACAATTTTTAATGTTACACACACTGAAAAAAAATTGTTGAAAAAAAAAAATTAATTTTATTTATTGTTAAAAATTGTCTGGGGTAAATCTACCCCACATAGCAGTTAAGGGTTAATTTATCTTATGTTGTAATAATAATTAGAATAACTATTATATATATATATATACGTTTTAAGTTTATCCATATGTTTACCCGTTATAATAAACATTAGAATAATTATTTTACAAACGTGATATAGAGAGCCGGAATTCAAATAAGAGGAATATTAGTAGGGCGACGGACTCGCACCCGGTAGGCCCGGGTTCGATTCCCAGTTCCTGCTGATTGATACAAGCACCACTGAAAAAAGTTTCATGTGCTTTGTTCTCAAACACATTGCAAGCCTCCGTCGCTGATTAGCACTGATGAAGCATAAATAGAGCGACGTTAAAAATAAAAAAAAAAAAAAAAAAAAAAAAAAAAGAGGAATATCATTATTGACGCGTGAACGGGCCGGGTTGCCTGAAAGCCTGAGTGCCGCCCGAGTCTAAAGCCATTCGGTTGTTATAAAGGCCTAACACGGAGGAAATTCGCCTCCCGCGGATTACCACCTATCAATTGGTAGTAGAGCTTGGTTTGCTCATGCTACATCTTTTGTTTTCTCTTTTTTTTCGCGTTAAAAATCTTATAAATTAAATAATCTTTTAAATTAAAATACGTATATTGTTATGTGTTAAATCTAAGGGTGATTATTTAATTTATTCCCCCATTATTATTACTATTTCATATATTATATATTATTTTATTTCATTTTTGTACGATATCTAGGATAATTTATATTTAATTATAATCAAGATTGAATATTTATTTGATTTATGATTTAGTACTTTTGTAAAAAAAATTTTATGAGTATTTCTTCCTGTCTGTTACGCGATACGGCTGAGTAAGGCGCTTATCTCTAGGCGGGCTAAAGCCACGCCAAAGACGAAAAATTGTTTTTCTGATTCCCACGTTCAAGCGCATAGGAATTCGGCGGAGTTTCATTTTTCGGTGACGGTCGCGTAAGTATAATTAGACCTCTCGGTTCTAAAATCGGGTGAATTTTTCTTCCGTTCCCACATTTTCTGCCTACTTGGCCGAGTAGCATTGGCTACGTGATTGTTTTTAAAAATATTCGAAATTGAAGACGGCTTAACAAAAAAAAATGTTGTGTATTATTTTACGTATGACATGATCATTTGAAATTCGATGTGCGCGCTTGCAAAATGTTTCTTTTTATGAGATATTCGGAATTCTTTTATGTGTCCGTCGTAATCTTTCTTGAAATTTTCTTTAATTATTTTTATTTTTATTATCTTTATTTGATAAAAATTCGGTATAAATAATTAAAAATAATTGGTATCGCGTTAGTAATTACTTAAGGAATTTAGAATGAATTAAAATTTTTTCGGGAATTATTATTATTATTGTTTTTATTTTTATTGCCGGCGATAAATTTTCATATTGTCGTCCCAACGTTTTATTTATTATCCTAAAAGGGACCCTGGGCCTTAAATTATCCGTGAAGCGCTGCGGGGGAAAGTTTAGTGAGGCCCTGTATTAAAAGAAAATAAAATACCAGTGAACACTAGCCTATAAGCGAAATGGCGACTGAAGCGGCTACCTTACAGCTATTGACTAGCATGTCAGCCCGCTTTACCTTACAAAATATAGTACAAGGAATTACCAAATTTGACGGAAAAAATGTGCCGCTTAAGGATTTCATCCAAGACATTCGTAATGGAAGGGCGCTGATATCGGACAGACAGAAACAGAATTTTGTCCGTCTAATCATAGCTAAACTACAAGGACCCGCACGCGATTGCATTTATGGAAAATCTATCAAAGCAGTCGATGATTTAATCAAGATTTTGAAAGAGCGGTTTGCACCCTGCAAGGACCTTGCATACTATGATTCTAAAATTCATAGTTTATGCATGAAGCAAGGGGACTCGGTTGGTGATTTCCATGACAGGATCAACATTCTGCTAAACTGCGCGTAAAATGCGCTGAAGGAAGAGCTCGGAGAAAACTTCACCGAGGCAATGATGACTCCGATGCGGAATTAAACCATAAAGACCTTTATAGACGGACCTTTATAGACCTTTATATATGGAGATCTAGTAGATATTAAGCAGCCCAAAACCCTGGAGGATGCCTATAAAGAAGCACTACGTATAGAAACAAGGACAGGACACCTTAGCTCGCATGAATTCAAGAGTGTTAAACGTTTATTGAAAAGATATCTGAATGTGTTCCTACTTCCTGGAGAAATCTTACTGTGTACTAATTTAATAGAACCCGAAATACACTTGGAGAATAGAGTACCAGTCAATACCAAGCAATATAGGTATCCACCCGTACACCGGAAATTTATTTCGGATCAAATCAAGAAACGTCTAAGGGAAGGAATAATCGAAGAGTCTAACTCACCCTATAATTCACCGCTCTGGATTGTTCTTAAAAGCTCGGCTAGTGATGGCACACCGAGATGGAGGATGGTTATTGACTTTAGGGAATTACGTAAAAAGATCATTGGTGACCCTTTACCCAATATGGCTGATGTTCTAGATCAGTTGGGGTGTTCGATGTACTTTTCAACGTTCGATTTAATTAGTGGATTTCAACAAATTCTCTTAAGGGTTGAGGACAGGGAGAAGACGGCATTCTCGACCTTTGATGGACACTTTCATTATATCAGAATGCCGGAAGGACTAATGAATGCGCCAGCGACCTTTCAACGAATGATGAATGCGTTGCTGCGAAGACTCTTGAATGTAGAAATGTTAGTGACCTGGATGACGTGATAGTTTACGCTAAGAATTTACGCGATCATGAAGTTTAGGTAGGAAAATTATTCGAAAGACTTTCTAACGCAGGGTTAGTCTTAAAACCGGACAAATTAAATTTCGTACGTCGAGAAGTAAAATTTTTGGGACACATTGTCAGTGCTCGAGGAGTCGAACCAGACCCTAAATTGGTTGAGGCCGTAAAGAAATTTCCGTCGCCCAAGGGAGCAAAAATTGTCAGGTCTTTTCTTGGACTCTCCGGATATTATCAACGCTTTATTCAAGACTACTCGAAGCTCCTTAGTGATTTGGCAAAGGACCAAGCATATAACTGGAGACCACCGCAAGACGAAGCTTTTGAAAAGCTCAAGCAGATGCTTTGTGAGGCCCCTATTTTAACTTTCCCTGATTTCGAGAAGATCTTTACCTTGACCACAGATGCTTCAGACTATGCCATAGGAGCCGTTTTATCACAGGAAGTGGATGACCTTGAAAGGCCTGTACCGTATCTTTCGAGGCTACTGAACCAAGCAGAAAGAAATTATACTACAACGGAAAAGGAGTGTGTTGCAGTTTTATATGCGATGAATCTGTTTAGACCCTATCTCTTATGCAAGAAGTTTACTCTAATTGCTGACCATGAGAGTAGATAAGCAATGTATGTTCTGAGATATAAAGGAGCCGTCCGATGAAGGTGTCACGGTAGTGACACCTTTTAATCACGATAAGGTGAGACCCCATGCTGAGTGTCTAAAAGGCATTTGATGTACCTTTGACACCTCCCGCGTGCCAGTGGGCCCCTTCGAAAAAGTGAAACCCCATGCTGAGTGTCTAAAAGGCATTTGATGTACCTTTGACACCTCCTGCTGAGTACCTAAAAGGTAATCGATGTAGCTTATGCATTGAAGATTCATCGCCAATATGTGTATGTCCTGAGACAGAAGCCAGTGAGCCCTTTGACAGAGTGCCTCTCTCTCTCTCTCTCTCTCTATCTCTCTCACGCTCTCCTTCGATAGTAGGGCGCTTAGTAAGCTTATGCTGGCTGAGTGTGGGCCCTCGGAGAAGGGGAAGCGTCTCTAGCTTGGTAAGCTATATGCTGCTCTCTCTCTCTCGCTCTCTTTCGATAGTAGGGTTAATAATAAGCTTTGATTTTTGGGAACCTTTCAACCATTCTCTAATAACACTACATCTCTTGCTAATAGTCTAAAGCACAATCAATGTTCCTTTTTAAATGAAGATGCGTTCTAGCAGCGTGCACTATCCTTTTTCAGGGTCACATTTAATTTTAGGAAACTTTCGACAACTCACACCACCTTGCACTCTCACCAATAACGCTTTACCTCATGCTAAGGGTTAAAACGCATTCGATGTTCCTTTTTCAATGAAGATGCGTTCGAAAGTATGTATTACGCAGCAGGGGATTGGAGATATAAAAATCTCAATGACGAATTGTCTCTTACAATAGTTATTTTATTGCTTTTTGCCTTAGAGATTAGGTTTTTAAGTTAGCCTTGTTTAGTTGCGTTAACGTCCCCCACA